ATCATCCCCATGCCGCGTAACAGGTCTCATCTGGACTGGCGCTTCCCATAACAGGCTGACACCCTTGCTGAGCAAAACATGAAGGAAGGCTGTGCTGAACCATGCCATGAAGTGCTGTACTGTGTAGTGCTAATCTGAATTCAAGCATCACGCTGGGTTTATTGTGATATCCCCTCAGCGGCGATTGCACTCAGAGTTCTCATGTGTGAAAGTCCAACCTGCCCAACACTTGAACAACCCCCAAGCACATGTCCGAACAGTGGCTCGCCGAAAGATGCACAGGGCGCATCGGCCGAACGAGCGTACCCCTCATCTCACTCTCACTCCCTATCCTGCTCCTCCCTCCACCCTCCCCCTCTCCTCCACCTCCCAAAAGATAGCTCGAATGTGGGAAGCTGATGTGGGACCCATGGACAAGTCATAGTCTCTTTAGTAGCAGGCCACCTGCATATAAGGAGCCGCACTGGGAGAACGCATAATGCCAAGAGACTGTCTGATGCATCTGCACGCGCGACCCAGGGCAGCCGGGCGTACTCTTCAAACTCATCCAGCAGCTCCAGCTTGTTGATCCTATCGACGTCGGCCTGGTCCAGATGTTTGTAATAGACCTCGGATGCATGGGGAGTCGGCGGAGGGAGTAGCAAAGGTCCGCCCGACAAAGGAAGGCGAACAGAAGGAAGGAAGCACACAGAAAGTCACCTGGCGTGCTTAATCGTGATGTTGATCACTGTCCGCATGCAGTCTGTCCGTGCTGCAGTCACTGTGAACCGCCCAACCCAAGACAACACCCGAATGCTCCAGGACCGCTACTGCGGATGCCAAGAATATGCACCATAATCACCTGAATCCCCCCTCCCCTCCTCCAGCCTCTTCTTCCTCTACCCACCTGGGACAGGGAGGGGGTGCGGGAGGCGGTGGTGGCATATATGTTTGGGCCCCGTAGCTACTGGAGTGCCTTGAGCACCACAACATCCGGTGACACTTCAGTCTCTTCGTTCGGCTTCGGCACCGTCCCCGACCGACCCTAGCCCTGGTGCTAGAGGATGGGAGGACAAGGTGAGAGGGAGGAGGAAGAGGAGAAGGAGGAGGAAAAAGAAGCGAAGCGAAGCGAAGCGAACGCCGGAGGCGTGCGTGTTCCTACGGGGAGCAAGCCCGTGCACAGTAGGGTATGGCGCGGAGGCAGTGGCCTCAAACATGTGAAACATAGGCGGACTCACGAGATAACCACCACTCACTCAGTGCTCCCAGCCGCTGATAACCACCGCAGGTCGTTTTGCTGTTGTGTTGGTGTTGTCGTGGTTGGGTCGCCGCTCGGATCTGCTCCTGCCAGGTGTCGGTGTCGCAGTGGTGCCCGTCCAATGTGTCGAGAAACTTTCTGATGTCGCCGTCCCATCGTTTTTGTTGCCCTCCATGTTGTCGTCGTCCTTGTTGTCGAGTGTTGAGATTTGGGTTGCAATTAAGCACTCTCTGTGTCCAGCGTGTAGAAGGGTGAAGAGCCACCGTATTTGCCCAGCGCCAGGCCATCCTTCGGTGTAGGTGAAATACTTCGGGTATCTCAAATTTCAGCATCAATGTCTCTGCTCTCCGTGTACTCATGCGGATAAAGTCGGACCACAATTCGACGTCCTCGTTCTGCGTGTTGCCTGGTTGCGTGCTTTCGTCGTCGCTGACGTCGTCCTGCGCGTTTGGCTGGTGTGCAGGTGGGTTGCTGCAAATGTCGGACTCGCTGGAATCGTTTGGTGCTGTTCTGCTGGTGTCGTTGTGATTGTCTGGGGATGTCTCTGGATTGTGCTGTGGTGTCGGTGTCGCTGCCGTGCGTCTCCTTGGTGTTTCGATTATAATTCGTACCATCCGTCGTTGTGTTCTGCGTAACTGCTGCTTGAGAGGCTCTGTCAACGTCCACGTCGCTGCTCTGTCCGTCATAGTAGAGATGACAGTGCCCCTGTATAGCCGTAGTCGGTGTCGCAGTGGATAGTGCTTGCTGGTGAGTTCTTGTCTGTGGCTGCTGAAGCATGCCCATGCTGCTTGAATCCGGTGCGGTAGTTCGGTTCCGGGTGCGTCGTGGGAAGTAATGGTCTGGCCCAGGTAGGTGATGGTGCTTGCTCGTGGAAATATGACGACGTCCATTCCTGGTACTTTAGTTGTTCGGCCGCGGTGTCGAGGCTGATTGGTCATGATTTTGGTCTTGGTCGGGTGCAATTCCAGTCCGTGCTGTTTCGCTGCGGTGATGAGGTCCGAAAGCATTGCTCTTAGGTTGGGAAGTGTTTGGCTTGATAGCAAGATGTCATCTGCGAACCGAAGGTCGTGAGTGTCGCAGCGTCGGAGGAGGAGGCAGAGGAGGAGGCGGAGGAGGAGGAGGAGGAGGAGGGGAGGGGGAGGGGAGAGAGGGAAGGAGGGATGGAGGAGGAGGAGAAGCGGAGGAGGAAGACACGGAGGAAAAGTAGGAAAGAAGGAGGAGAAGGGAGAGGAGGAGGAGGAGGAGGAGGAAGGAGGAGGAGGAAGAGGGAGGAGGAGGAGGAGGAGGAAAGGGAGGGGGAGGGGGGGGGGACGGGGAGGGGGAGGAGGAGGGGGAGGAGGAGGAGGAGGAGGAGGAGGAGGAGGAGGAGGAGGAGGAGGAGGAGGAGGAGAGGGAGGAGGAGGATAAGGAGGAGAGGGAGGAGGAGGAAAAGGAGGAGGACGAGGAGGAGGAGGACGGAGGACCAGTGTAAACCCAAGAGAAGAGGCATCAACGATGTTGGAATTAATCCTCCCTCCAAGCTCCCCCTTTCATAGGCCCCTACAGCGGTTCATTTCCATTGAGGGAACTGCCCCGTTGGAACACAACCGTGTGAAGACCTTGAAGCATGCGAAACATTGTCATCTGGATTTCCACGCCACGGATCAACCTGACTGCTGCGTCCTGACCAGCTGGATTCGAGTCAGGAAACCATTCCTGGGACTTGAACACTGCGAATCAATATAACTGTTGCACCAACATAATCTTGAACCCTTCCAAAACACCACTACTGGTACGTTGATCATGGGAACCCGTGAAACTCTCGCAAATGATTAAAACGAATGTGCGCGGCGCTATGGCGAGAACCACATGTTGAAGAAAAACGCCATCAATCCGTGAAACTCTTGCAAATGTTTAGAACGAATGTGCGCGGCGCTAAAGCGAAAGCCACATTTTGAGAGCCACCGGCCCTCAACCCGTGAAGCTCCTGCAAATGTTTGAAATTAATATGCGCAGCGCTGGGGCCAGAGCCACATTTGAAACCACCCGCCTTCAATCCGTGATATTATTGCAGATTTTTATGTGTGTATATACATATATGTATAAAAGAGTGCGCGCGGTGTTAATGCGAGAACATGTTGGAAACGACTAGGCCCCAATACGTGAAACTCGTGCAAATTTCCAAAACGAATGTGCGCGGCGCTGGGGCGAAAACCCCATTTTGAAAACCACCGGCCTTCCATCCGTGAAACTCTTGCAAAGTTTTAAAACGAACGTGCGCAGCGCTAAAGCGAGAGCCACATTTTGAAAACCATCGGCCCTCAAATAGTGAAGTTCTTGTAAATTTTGAAAAACGAGTGCGCGCGGCGCCGAGGCGAGAGCCACTTCTTTTGAAAACGACCCGCCCTCCATCTGTGAAGCGGTTGCCATTTCTTAAACTTCACAATCATATAAATGGTGAGGAAGTCTCAGGCGAAACGCCCAGCCCGCCCTAAAATTGGCCTCGGGGTGCGACATGGAAAAATTATGTATAAGGAAAGGGAACGGGGGAGGGGGGAGGAGGAAAAGGAGGCGGAGGAGGAGGAGGAGGCGGAGGAGGAATAGGAGGAGGAGGGGGGAGAGGAGGAGGAGGGGGACCAGCGCGCAGACTGAAGAGGGGCGTGGCCGCCCAGGGCCGCAATCCGCTACCCCTCTGGGGGGCTTTCCTGGCAAGCGAGGGCGACCTCGGAGACAGGCGGATGACTCTCGTCTCGTGAAACGTCCCAAGCAGCACTTCCCCCACTCGGATTACCAATCTCGAGGTCGGTGGGGTTCGTCTCAGCCAGTTCTTTCACCAGCTGGGCCAGAGGGATCGGCGAACGCAAAACAATTGGTGAATTCGCGGCCCCCTTGGGATGTCTACCCTCCGCGGCTCTCTGCTTTTGCAGACGTCTACCGTGATTAGGGGGCTCTCCAGGACATTCGTCTGCTAGGCCTCTGGTGCTCTCGGTGACCCCACAGGTCCAGCACAAAATCAGGCTCAAGGGACTGCATTCGTCCCCATAGCCAAAGAAATAGAGATTGTGGCCTCGCGGATTGCTCGCAAGGCTACTGTGAAACTCGCAGTAGCCAGGGCAGTCCTCTTGGTCGCGTCTGGCCTTCTAGTAGCGCAACTGCGGCGGCAGGCTGTGCATATGAAACTCTTCCCCCAGGGGTGCCACTGATGCTTTCGACGCGGAATATCGGAGGCGAGAGGGGACCTCGGCGGAGGAGGAGGAGGTATCAGGCCCCAAGAGAGGCCAGCCGACGCGGCCCCAGTGGGCGGGTTCAAACTCTGCATCGGTTTGTCAAAAGCTTTGGCACCAACCTTGGGGGGCTACTGGTGGCCATAACTGCAGGGCTTCTGAAACGTAAGTAAGAAACTTGACCAGTAGCTCGCTCTGGCCTTCCTGCAGCTCGGTCTCAAGCTGACTCGGTTGGGAGGCTCTAGCAGCGGCGATCTTCGCATATCTGTCAGCTGCATCGTTGCCTTTGGCTCGTCGCCACTCAGAACTATACTCTGGGAGCTCATTAATATTGACGTGCGCTTTAAGCTTGTTTAGCCTTGGGCCCAAGGGGGTAGCGCAAGCGCCACCGAGGACCTTGAAGGCCCCACGCGAGGAACTTTCCTTTCGGCGCACGCTTATGGCTCCTTGGTAATCTACAAAAATTCGGGCGCGTGGGTGGGCATTGAGACCAGCAGCAAGCACAGCACAGTGCTCAGCAGCAGGGAGGAGGGGGGAGGTATTTACCCACACGCCCGATGAGGTACGCAAACACGTCAACGTGGCCATCAATGGCCACCACTGACCACCCAGCTACGTTATAATTTTTGTGCCCTCCAGGTTCGAGACAGGATCCATCGGCAAAAATCTCCCCAGCAAGGGCCTCGCGAGGCTGCACGCTGGAGTCTCGACACCAAAACTCGGCATATGCATAGCCAAACCCGTCAGGAGCCCCTGTTTCGAATTCAGGTTGGAACTGGAAACCATGCGCTACAGCCTGATCCGTCGCCTTCGAAATCGTGTCAAGTTCGTCTGCTGTGAACGAGTCACGCAACTGGGCGCTGAGCGGGCAATGTAAAAGGCGGTGGCGCAAGTCATCGCAAGGGCGCCCGTGCTGGCACTTGCCGTCAGAGTCGTACCCAGCTCGCTGCAAGCGCGCGTTGGCCCAGATACTCTGGGTGAGAAAACTAAGAAGGGTGGATCTGGCTTTCTTTGGCAGCGTCTTCCCAGCCAACATTTTTCGGGCGATGCTGACGTCAAGGGTCTCCTGGGGGGTAACCGAGTTTCTTGGCGGCGTTCCTGAGGATGGCCCGTTCCCAGGCCCCTTGCATTTTCTGGGCAATCACTCTGGGAGTGCAGGTTGTGAGTG